GGTCTGGCTGCCCTCCCGGGGTGAGAGGGGAAGGCACCAACTGCCGTAAGCGTGAGGGGGAAGCCGCGGAGCTGGCTCCTTCCTCAGTTTGGCACACGGGGTGGGCTGGTGAGCGCAGTCCGTGCCTGAAGTGGGTTGTGGTTTGGGTGCGGGAGGGGGAAAGCCGATCGCTGTCGTTGCCTGGTGACGCTTCTGCCATAGGCTAATCTCCTGTCACTTTTCTCCGTAGAAGACGGACTGGTCCGAGCCCTGGTTGGTGGGGCTGGCGGTTTTCCACGTCCTCTGCTTCCTCCTGACGTGTGTTTCTTTCCAGCACTACCGGGTGCAGATCGGGCACTTCCTCTGCATGGGTGAGTGGTGTGTTCGTGCTTCCCTGGGCGGCAGTTCGGGTCAGAGAGTGCATGTGCGTTGTTTAAGCTGCTAATCCTGTCAAGTGGCTTCTTTTGGTCTCTTAATGATAACCGTTTTCTTCGTGTTCTTGTGTAGGACACAGTTTTGTACTTTGCAACCAATAAAGTGCATGGAATTGAGTATTTCTCTTGTAGTAATACATGATAAATACAGTGTTTATATGTGATAAACTATGACAAAAGCTGCTATGACCTATGAATACGTATTTATTTAATTTCCAAGACTGTGTGAAGTAGTGACTTAAGTCTGGCCTTAGTAAAGGATAAGTAAGGTTTCTGTATGGTAAATGCTGTGTGTGCCAGAGCTTCCCAAGAAATTGTTACTGTGCTGGAGAAGCAGAAAAAAAAAATTGTCTGAGAGCCAGCAGTTTCTTTCTGCTCTGCTTTATTCTAATGCTGCAGTTCAGTGAATGTGTACAGTTTTCAGCTGGATCCATTTGTGCAGCAGGTTCGCCATATGACCTGCTGACAGCTGTGATAATGGCATGAAGAAGAGTAAGACTGTTTTAAGTTCATTGCAGTAACAGTTTATGTCATCTCAGGGTTTACCAGACTTCAGCCTGAGAATCCACAGTGGCCTTGCTTAGCCAGAGCTGTGTCTTTACGGCTGACTGGCTTTTCGGAAGGTATTTGGTTTAATTAAGATGGCATGGATTTGGGTTAGATCCATCTATTATGAGCAGTACCTTGGTTCTAGGTATGGGTTGGATTTTGTGATGAGTTGGGGTTTTTTTTACACAATACCTCAGTTCTGTCATGCTTGCAGTGTAGTGGAGGAAAAATGAGCAATTAAGGAGATTTGCAGGCAAAAAGCCCCTTGAAGACTATATAGACTTTTTGAAATACCATTTAGTGAACTAGTCAAGTTGGAAGAGGAATTACAGCTACCTCAAAACTGTAAATAACTCAAATAAAGCTAAGGTTTCAGTAAGATTAATTATCCTCAAGAGGAAACTAGAAACTGTACTAATTATTGTAGATTCACTTGTAACTGCGGAGTTTAAAATTATGTACAGAGGGCAAAATAACAATGCCCTGTTTATGACACATTAAGCCTGAATGTTCCCCAGAAGGATATAGGCTTTTCTTTCTTAAATTTAATATTAGACATTCTGAATTTCCAATGACATGCTGTTTGCTTTAGAGTCCCTGTCTAAAACGTTCTCACTGTTACTAACACTAGTTTGCATGCAAGGTGTAAATGCATTGGAAAACGCAGTGGAACTGATCACTGCTGGCTTTTTGACACAGATGTGATGTAAACTTGCTGTTAGCAAGAAGAGTGCATAAAAGTATCTGTATTGAGTCGAAGCTTTATTTGTACTTGAAAAACTGAACCACTTTTGATGTGTCTGCAATATAAATAGCTTTGTGTTGTAGATGAAAAATGATGTAAGAAATAACTGAGGAAACATTGGTTTACCTTGGCATCTAAGGAGCCATAGGTGTGTTTATATTGTGCAGTACCAAGCAGAGGTAATAGAGATGATGGCAAACAGTATAGCATGTTGTATTGCCATGGCACTCTTTCATGTCACCAAACTAGTTATTTAATTGTCTTATGCAGGTCATTTTTAGTTGCTGGATCTGTTAAAAGCAGTAGAATTCCAGATTTTTCAGTTAAATTTGTGATTGCACTGGATTTTCTGTCTCGATGGCTTCATGTTACATGTAATTGTTGATTAAGAATATGCTAGCAGCAGACTACTCATTTATATACCTATTCAAACAAAATTTGTATTTTACCAAAACACCTATATATGTAATTAGTACCCTAACTTCAGATAGTAATGTTAGATATAGCATTGTGATACCAGAACATCTAAAATGGTAACTTAATTCCATACCAGTTTTGGTGGGTGCTGACATTTCTTTTACCAGCCATAACTTGGAAGCAGTCATCAAGAAGATTGTTGGAAGAAATACTGATTTTTTTAAATTTTATTTTTGATTCACTTAGATGCTGAGCTCATTCTGTAAGCTCAGATGAGCAGGATTTTATTTTTGTTTGTTTGTGATATAGTGGGTATGTTTTGTGATCACTTAATATTTCTTAGAAACTATATGGGACATTTAATTCAGAATTGGTTTTGTGAAATTAAATATTAAACATGTATTTTAATCTTCTGAGGATCAAAGGATTCTAATATCTGGTATGTAAACATCTTTAGTATACATGGCGGAACTGATGTCAGCTTATTTTTAAAGAAATATTTAATCTACTATTTTTCTTTTGTTGTACAGTGGGTTTAGTATACTGCGCTGAATATATAAATGAATTAGCAGCCGTGAATTGGAGGTAAATGTTTTTACTTTCATTTTTACATTTAAATTAATGTTCTTCTAAAAATGTTATTTTTTTCATATCATTCCTAGAAAATATTAATTTAAAGATAGTCACTCATGCCTCCTCAGTAGGATGTGACTGTAAACTGTCTGTTGCATTGTTGATATAAAACTTTTGAACAAAACCATACAGTACAACTTAGTTATCACTTAGCTTATAAGAAGAAGTAATTTTTTAATAGCTAGCATGTATTTATTATACTGCTTAAATTTATGTTTGTATGGATGGTTGTAAACTAACTGGTCAGAGAACTAAGAGTAAAGCACAGTGGAATGGTTAAGGGGAAGAGGATATGACCTTTTGGTGTTTGGGGCTTTTTTTGTTGTTGTTGGGTTTTCTTTGGTACCTATTCATGTTTAATAAGCTGAGGTTAAGCACCAGTTCTCAAAAATATCACTACTATTTTATATACTTATTTATATGCATAGAAAATATTAAAATTTGCCTGTTTTATTAAACTTATGTACCAGAATTAAACTGATGGCTTATTTTGATAAGCACTGAGCTAATCTTTTCATGATCTAACTGGAAATTATGTGTTTAACACTACTTCGTGCAGGCATCTTAATTTTAAGTCTTTATGTTCCACTTCAGGCATGCATGACCTAAATTACAGCTTTGCTACATTTATTATTTCTCTTACCTTTTCTAATATGAATAACCAAAATACCTAAGAAAGTATATTTCAGATGCTTCAGGATAAGTATGATTGCTGATGCAGAAATATATGTACTGTTGTAGTTACATTAGTAAGTTACTTAATCTATGGTTGTTTCATTTAGGTTTTGCACAGTAAAACCTTAAAGAAAAGAAAGACTGATATTGTAATAAATGTTCGTAACTGATGAGATATTGACTGTCTCTTTGTTCTGACTTAATACAGTAGAATGCTGGCTTATGCTTGAGTATCCCAAGAAGTAGGGTAACCTGTACAATGTCCATGTTGAATAGTTAATGTGAAAGTCTAATGGTATGTGAGCTACACTGAATAAAACTTCCTCTCTTATTTTTCTTTATTTTATTTCTTTTAGGCTGTTTTCTAAATACCAGTACTTTGATTCAAGAGGAATGTTTATTTCGCTAGTATTTTCAGCACCACTGCTGGTGAACACTATTATAATTGTGGTATGTATGTGTTCATTTATACGGACGCTTTCATTAAAGTGATAAGTAAATATATGTGGATTAGTTAAATTTAATAATTTACTTACTTTTCAGGTCACCTGGGTTTACAGAACCTTGAATGTAATGACTGAACTGAAGACACTGCAGAAGAAAATGAAAGCAGAAAAAGAGAAAAAGAAATGAAAGCACCTAACACTGGTTTTGTTGTTGGTTTTTTTTTTTAAATTGTAATAATACTTGTCCAGGTAATCAGTCCTTCTGTGTGTTTATCCAGAAATGGTAGTGTTTTTGTTTTTGATGTCAAGAGGACTTTGCAACCTGTGGCCATGAAGAAGGAGGTGGAAGCAAGTATCTAACAGTACATTTGAATTGGCCATGAAATGGAGAAACCCAGCCTTAACATGTCTTTGTGCCCTTCAAAGTAAGATAGTTTTCATCATGACCCAAGCTGTTGGTATTGGTGCAACACAATCTTCCAGTCAGTTTCCATGAGCCTATGTATTTTTTAACTGTGTCTGTGTGTGTTTATTAAGTATCTGGTCTTCTGCAGCTTAAGCCACTTGGAGCTATGTTGTGAATTCCAGTAAGTGAGGGATTGTATTCCGAATACCTCAGGAATCCATGCTTCTATGAAGCATTTAACTTCTTTATAAATCCAGTTTCCTACTTCCTATGTGTATTGTGTGCCAGTAACATTTAATAAATAAAATTATCCACTGCATCTTAAATGGAGTTAATTTGCATTAATTTTTAAACAGATTTTTTCTTTCTTTTTTTCTCATAAAAATTACCATTTTGGTAAAATCTTATATTTAATTTGTGTAAGTAATTCAAAATTATCTCTGTGTTTGTTTTTAATTTACATTTCATTATCTTAATGCTGCTAGATAACTATCTTTTCTTAAAACTGGATGTAATTTTGATAATATCTTTTGCTTATTTGTAGAAAAGTGAAGGGGAGAAAATTTAGGATGTTCTATGCAATTTTTTCCTATTGTTTAGATTTTTTTTGTGTGTTTTGCCTTTTTTTAATAAATAACTGAAGATGAAAAATTGACTCTGGCAAAACTTAAGAAGATATCAGTTTTGCTCAGAGTAACCTATTTTTATTGGTTTAAGGAAATTTGTGGGGGGAAATGAACACAACGGAAGAGCTATCTTCAGGACCATGGAACAGGCCTGTTTGATTTCATACTGACAGATGTAGATGTCCCAGGCTGGTTTAGAAAAGTTCAGCTTTGCTCTTAAATTTTGTTGGGGAGAGGTATGCAATTTTTCATGCGTTGCCCTAAGCATGACCACACAAATACTGTGTTCCTGACTTTCCTCTTGTGAACTGTTCTGCAACAATGTCAGTGCACAATTGTTTTAGTAGCACATACTTAAAGCTGTAATACCTTGTCATACTGAGATGCCACCTGTTATCAATAGCCTTTGGCTTCACAGCATGTGTGAGTTTGATTTACAGTAAATGAGTTGGTTCAGAGCAGGTAAGTAGGAAGTCTCTTGCAGTGGAAAACAATGTGCCTTACTTGGTACATCTAAGGAAAACTTTCCCCAAATAGTTCAGGATTTTGTCTTCTTTCTTGCGTGTGAGGTCAGAACAAGAAAAAGAAAATTTCCTCTTCTGTAAGTATGTGAAACTGGTGAGATACAGCAGTCAGAACTGTCCTTTCTAATGTAAGATAGACAAGATAACAAAAATTACTTTTTCTGTACTTTCTGCTTTTCTGTTACTCTTTTTTGACACAAGATTTATTGGAGAAATTCTCTCTACCTTTGGAGATCCCAATTGAAATTAAAAAACCTTGTGCTTGCTTAATTCTCTTTCCTTTTCCTCTCAATGTAGTTGACCTTTCAGGCAGTATTTCCTTTTGTGTTACATTACCAGAGTAATTTTGCCCTTTAATATAAGATCCCAGGGCATTAAAGCCCTTTAACAAAGTTGGACAACAGAGAACCCTAGACTGTGAGTAACACGCACTTTATTGTTAATTAGCAAGCAAAAATTAATTATATTTGGATAACTGATAATGTATATTATCGATTTCTGATACCACTGACATAATGCGATAGCTAGGAGGCAGCTAGTGCTTGGTTTTAGAAATATCAATGTGATGGGGTGTTTTTTTTTTGTCTTCTAAAAGTATTGCTGAGTGGAAATACAAAAAGCTTCATATTCCAAAATTGTATCAATATTTTTTGAAGGACGAACATCTTAAAATGTACGCTTCCAAATTGTAAGCTTGGTGTTTTTAAACCTTACCTGACTATTGAATCTGTATTAACTAAATGTAACAGTTACAGAAGATAATTTTTCACAAACACCAGAATGTGGTTTCCATGTATGTTTTTCAGAAAAGTAGTCCCGTTTTCTACATTTCAGAAAGTCAAACTTTTATCAGAGTTGTCCTCTAGCTAACCCTGCCTAAGAAACACTAAGTTTAAGAGCTAATTAAAAAAAAAAAAAAAAGTAGGTAATTTTAACCATAAGAGAAACTGTCAGAATTAAGTAAAGTGTGGCTTTTCTTCATTATGTGACTGGATTTATGAAGTGATAGCGCAATAACAGAATGTAAGGGTCTACTTGCTGACAAAACAAAATAACTACATCGTTAATTTAGAGACTGCTTTGCTTACTTGGAATGTTGTAAGTGTAAGTGAATGAGAACCAAATGTTTTAGGCTTGTGGAATACCTTTACCTTTAATTGGGAGACCTGAATTTAGGTTGCTTACAGAAGAGCCTCTTTATTTCAGTTTGGAACATGCAAACAGAAAAGCTGGTAGCTGCTCCATTTGAACCTTCAAAGAGTAAGAGGAGACCGGTGATTTGTTACTGGTTCTGTGTATCTTGCAGACAGTGACTCAAATCTTCAGCCTTCCTTAACGTGTCTGTCCAGAACAGCACATGGCATCAGCCGGTGTGGAAAAACATTAAAATGGAGAAAGTAATATTAACCTGGCAACTTTACCCTAGTACAAAGTAGTTTTGTTGCATATAAATTGGTGAAAGGATAAATTAGTAGAATTTAGTTGGCAAACTTCTGGAGCTTGAAGTTGGCCTTGTTCCCTATGGAAAAGTAATAACTGAGATGAGATGGGTTTCCAGGAATGAGAACCTAGAATTCTTTCTTTTTCCATAGCCACTGAAATGCCATATCCTTAGCTTAGAGTGCATTTTCACCTCTTTTTGGTCCAATGAACTCATTATTCTAGACAGAATGGAACAGATCTGGTAAAATAATTTGAATCTCTGTTCCTCAGGAATATTTGCTAGCTTAGTAGATGTGTGGTTCAGATATAGCCATCTCCAAAGGCATGGAAGGACAATAAATTGAGGTCTCCTGCATCCTTGTGTGTATTCTAAATCAAGAACTTTGAAGGACAGTGATCTTAAAAGAAGGGATTTATTCTAGAAAAGCTGTGTTAGGTGGTGATCTGCTGTGGTATGAATCCTAAATAAAGTAAGAGTACATGGAGAACCATTTTGTGGATTCCAGAATCATAAGCTTAAATCTTGAACTCTGATTTTTATAGGAACTGTGAATGTCAGGAAAAGGAGTAGTGATTTTTTTTGTATGAACAAGATAGAAATCAATACAACTGTAATGTAGGGAATGTTCTATTTCTTTAAATACAGCTAACCCTTTATTGTAAGCTTGATTAAAAATCAGAAGCAAAATATGTTTTTCCACTGTAGATGAACACACTATTTTTGTAATTAATATCTCAAAGTATATGTCTATGTTTAGGAAACTCACATATTGTGTATTTGTATATTTAAATGTTTTTAATATTTCTAAATATGTTTTAAATATTTTAATATGTTTCAACAAAATAGAAGTATTGATCGTCTTCTGTGCATCAGGGGGAGAGATCATTACAGTTAATGAAGCTCACCACCCGATGTCACTATTTCACATGCAAAAGCTGACTCAAAGCTTTTGTTATGAGCTGCTTCTGTAGATCTTTTCACTATTCCTTCATAAATACTTTCTGCAGCATTTTGGAATGTCCAGGAAAGCTTGGACTGTACCCTCTGAAAGCATAAATTGTTTTCTAAGCTCCAAGGTACATCTCCAGTCACTTGCAAATGTTCGTTGACACTCTTGCTTTTTACATTAAAAAGTGCTTAAGTGGTGATTTGCATATATGCTTCTAGAGTCAGGAGTGGGGACAGCAGTGGATGATGATTTAAAGCTTCTTAATTAGCCAAGGAAAGAAATATCGCTTTTGCTCATACCTACATTTCATATGGAGGAGCCAGTCTTCAACCAATTAAAAAGAAGTATAACAATGAAAAATAAATCAGTTACATTATTGTGTGAATAATATGCAGGAAAGCTTAATGAAGCAGTCTGGTTCATGGATGGGCAGAGGTTATGCTTGTCTTCTGTTTCTTTGTGATTTACCCTTACATAATGCACCATTACCAAGTCTGTCCTTGGTATGTTACATAGCTAGCGGTCACTTACTGTCGTGACTGAGGTTCTCAGAAGCCACTTCAGCCTTTCTCCACAATTTGGCAAATACTACTTGGCAATATTCAAAGGCTTTATGGCTTCATTTTCTGCTTGATGTTCCCCTTTGTGTACAAGGTTTTGAGACTTTTTATTTACTCTTGGAATTCACCTGAGTTCTGTTTCCACCCACCATCTCTTTGAGAATACAGACTTTCAGTTTGAATGGATTTCAGTCCCCTTCCTGTGATTACAGGAATGCACATACACGTAATGACTCTGAAAAGATTAGGCAATTACAACCCAGCATGCTTGTGAAATGCCAGCCTCATAACTCACAACTGATGTGCTTTATGCACCTCTGTTTTGTTAACAATAGTCTCCTGACCAGATCCTTCACCTTGAGGCCATGCTCATACCACTGTTTTGCTGCAAACTGGAACAGTTGAAGTGACTAGGAAATACCTCACAGGACTCGAAAGGGAAAGCTTCTGTAATGTTTGTATTTATTGTTTCATATAAATACACACTGTAAGTACCTTTCACAGGCATAATGAAGCCAGGAAAAGAGCTGTAACTGGTAATATGTTACACTGCTACAAGCACTGACTTTAAGTGGTCCCACTGAAATTGTGGTTCTGTTTTCTTTGGCACTGTCCAGAGTTAGAACCAGTTGAAACCAATGTCCGGATCAAATGTGTTGCCTCTTCCATCTGAAAACATTGCAATAATTAGCAAGGCATTCAGCAGAACTGGTTGAAAAAATGCACATTTCTTAAAATGGGCAAGTTCCAAGTGTCATTTATGACACACT